ACCCGCCCTAATAAGATTTATTACCAACTGAAATAACCTTCAAAGTGTATTTCCTTCAAAGACAAAAGGCACTACATAGTAGAAGAATTACTATTGTTCCAAACTATATTAAGTGAGTTTCATGTTTTACGACCCAAAATTTGAAAGTAAACAGTTATGCTAATTAGGTTGTCATGATACAGTTTCTCTTATCTGGTTTTCTTCATATGCATGAAGCAAAGTCTTTGTTCTATGTTGATGTGTACTACTGAAAATGCATGAGGTATAACAAGTCAATAAGAATCCTAGCACCAATAATGGATATAGACAAATTGTGGACCATGAAAATAATGTGTGCTTGGTTTTTTGTTTACTGCAATTGTGCATTTGATTATAGATCCTAACATCAAACCACTTGATGTTGAAGAGTAAAGCCTTGTATAAACATATGTTTTAGAATGTCTATAATTTCCGCATAATATTTACTGTCTCAAATCATATGGAATACTTATTATAATATGAAGAAAGTATAAAATACATAGAAACCGCAAGGATTCTCATAGGGTAAAAGCCATTTGAATGTTTTAACATGGTGACAAAGAAAGATGAAACGGGAAAACTTCAAATTGAGGTCCTGAACAAATTTAAATAAACTTACATAATCATGAAGTTGATGGAGTTGTTGGCATTGAAAAGGTCAAGGATGGGTCCTTACAGAACTCCTTGACAATATCAATAAGTGCTTCAGATAATCCGTGGTCACAGAGTGCAATGAGCACAAAAAGTGTATGGTGATCCTTGTGTCAAGAATGTTTGGCATCTGAAAAACCAACTCTAGCAGGAAGTGCACGACTGCATGCTACTTTGGATCCATAAATGAGTTTGAAACTCCATTAATAACTGCAAAGTTCAAAACCAACTTGGAAAAGAAAAATAAAATCATAACAATGAGACATTACGTTCACCAAAGCAAAAACATGTAAAATAACCATTGCTACAAATTTCAAGTTTCATGCACCAAAATAATCTTCATCTCTTAGCTGATTAAGGTTTTTGGTTCTCCCTTTGTTTCAAAACTCCAATTTCATATTGAATCTTAGACATCAAACGTAAAACATCCCAGTGTGGATTAGATTGCAAATTTGAACACCACCATCATTCCAATGACGGATGATATATCCATTTCTGATTAGTAAAAATAAAGTTGTCATCAGTACCAGCAGACACCCGCAGACCCTGAGATATATGAGAATGCAAACTTCCAATATAAACCTTTGACTTGTTCAAAACCACCTCCTGGGTAGAATACCTTGTTTTCCAAATCGATGATTTTTTTTCTCACTCTCTCATAATTGCTTCTCTTTGTTCCGTGTTTGAGTAGAAAATCCAACATTTACTTCACTGAAAAAGAAATGTTTAGTTTACTTAGTATTTATGTAGTTATAGCTCAAAGAGATTGATAATAAATTTAAGAGCTAATTTCAGTTTACAGTCATTTAAGGGGCACACCTACATATTAACTATCATTTGTAAACTACCAAAGACTGAGCAGATTAAGAACAAAAGGCAACATATATTTTCCCTTTTCTCATACTCCAATGATACATTACAGGTTAACATGTGACAATTCTCTGCTCTCCTCTTCATCTCAGGATGCCTGGATCCATGATGAAGGACAAGACGCTCCACCTATTATACAACATAAACAAAAGATGAATCCACCACCACCACTATAAGTCAAATGATGATTCCGATCATCATAAGCGAGGTAAAGGAATCTAGTGTACCAAACAAGTGTCTACATCAAACTTGTGATTCATTTGCATAAAAAGAACAATAGCTTCTTCAGGCTTGCGAATGTAGAGCACCTATAGCTGGAACCTAAACACAAAAATCTGATAAAGTTGCAACCAAACTCCTTGACATAAACTTAACAATTTTAATATTTTATCTATATTGTATATTTATAGACATAGAACACTCACTGCATTCACAACTATGTCAATTAATTGATCTGCCAAAGATTCATACATCTGCACAACAATTAAAAATGGAAACTTTATAATTGTGGGTATATAGCATCATTTGCAAGGAATATAGATGAAAAAGATGCAATTCTTGTTTACCTTGTTAGTTGATTTAATTGTTCCATTATTAGCTTTTACAACAACATCCTAGAGACATGACAATCAGAACAATTATAAGTCCGGGGATGCAAATAAACATGGAAGTGCAAAACAAAGCGACAAATGGCATCACAGGTTAAAACAGATAGAAATAGTTTTATGTACAGAGTGCTAAGCCAAGTGACTAAAAGTAACAAAGAATTTGATCAAAGCCCATAATGCACAACAAGGGGTTGGTTGGTACCTACAAAATTGATTTGCACATTGCCACAACATCCTTTCTAGTATTTTGATAAAAACTTGTTGTCAAAATCACTTCTGCAACCATCCTATTGCATATCCCTGTCCATTGAGCATCAAGTTCCACCAAAAAAGAAAATTACAAATATAAATAATATTTAAAATTTGGAAGATGCTCTCACAATAGGATGATGGGACTCATCTGCTCTCACAACCATCACGACATCCAATGTGTTGAATGGAAGATGCTCGTAGCCGATAACAATAGTTGGTGGATGAGCTCTTAGTTACAGATTAATCAACAAAAACAAAGATCTAATGGGTTGTTCATAGAAAATGTGAAGTAATTGTTGCTCTAAACGAACATAAACTGCAAAACTAACAAAAGACCTAGTCAAAATAGACAAAATCAAAAGACATAAAATGTAGAACAGATCTGATCGAATTTAATGGGGGTCGAGAGAAGAAAAACTTAGAAAAATGATTAAGAAACCAGAAGCAACAATTCAACAGCGACTACGAATCGAGGTTGGGAATCTTCGTTTTACAGGGAGAATATTTTGAATCTTGGTTGCTCCTCTGTGAGTGGCCGCTTCAAGGAGAGGGTGAGAGCATGTTTGAGATCATTTTATGTTATTCTTATTTGAAATTTGACATTGGTTGAACATAAAGGAAAGTCTGAAAGGGTGAAATAACTTTGGAAACATAACCCATTTGTTTTTTTGATAAACTGGCACTGTTAAAGCTAAAACTTTGACCATATAAAGAGTATGCATTTAACATTTGTACATCTTGTGTTGTGGATTGTAATGAAGGTATTTTTAACATTCATGCATAAATTATTTATACATCATGTTTTATGAGTTGTAATTAAGAGATTTTAAAATTCTTGCATAAAATGGTGGTACCATGTGCTTTAAAGGATGTACTTAAGACTTTGGTTTAAATGGTTATTAATATAGTGTATATATATATATATATATATATATTAAAAAAATATAATATATTAATTTCTAAAAATAAAATAAATAAATAAAAAGACTAAAATACGCATAACTTAACAGAGAAAAAATTAACAGACTGAAGTCGAGGGACCACTTTCAATGATTCGTGTAAATTATAGGGACCAAAAATGCAGTTTACTAAGAATTCAAAAATAGAAATAAAAAGTCGGGTGGTGTGGGGCCCTTATGCACTGTGCCCACCGGTGTGTAAGGGTGGTCAGAGTTGGGTCAGGAACGGTCACGTCGAGGTCCAATCGGTCTTAAAAGTTTTTTTTTTTTTTTTTTTTTTTGTAAATAAGCCCATGTATGCAACGTTTAATGTTAAATGTTAATTTGGTGGTTAGATTTTGAAATAAACAAAATGTTGGGTTATTTTGATAAGTTTGGTATTTTGTTGGGTTATTTCCATCATCAACCCATGTATCTTACATTGTTATCCAACTAATCAATAAATTTATCAATTAATCACTTAAAATATATTATTTTTTGGTAAATTATATCATGATATAACCAACTTTATTGCATTTATATTTTAATAAACATTTTCCACCATTTTGACCCAACAAATAAAAATTGGTTTCATTTTTGTTAAGAGAAATCTTGAAAATAATTATTCAAAATAGGATGAAGTTTGTTTATTTTTATGACTTCATCGTTTTCATGACTTTCTATATTAAAATATGGTATTTTTTAAGATAAATTAAATAAAATAATCATATTGATCGGTAGATTTTATCTCTTAATCTTTTCTCTTCAAAATTATGAAAATAGCTGCAGGTCCGCAATTGACAGGTCCATAATTTTTGTTGTTGTCAGTTGTCAACTTGTGACAGTAGAAAATATGAATTTTTCTCGGAAAATTTTATTTTTGAATTTTATTTTCTATTTGTTCATGGTTTCACATTATTTTTTTTTTATTAATACGTAAATTAAGTAGCAAATTACTCTTATTGCCAACGAATATGACATCAAACTTGATCATTTTAACTCGATCAATTGAATAGCAATTATGACAACATAAAAATAAAACTGTAATCAATGAAAGCGTATTTTTATTTGATTATTAAAATTTAAAAATTAAGTTTTCTAAAACCCTTCTAAAAAATATTCAATTTTTTATAATTAGTGTAAGAGGTTGTTTGTTTACCTCTTAATAATTTCATTAGAAGGCAGTCTTTGAATCGTTAAGATGCGAATCTCGTTTGGCTAAAAAAGAGTCTTGTTTTCTAATGGTTCTAAAATTCTCTGAATGATCTTGTATCATGGGTCTCTCTTAACTATTCAGCACTCTAATTTTGTTGTAAACAATTACCATACAATTATGTTTCATTTTGCATCATATCATGAAAGCCTTTTAATCATTCTGCACCTAATCATTTAACAAATGCTAAAGCCCTTACACCATTTAAATTTATTCACCGGATTTAGATGTTTGATAATCATAATAATTGATGTTAGAAATTTTGTTAAAAATATTATTTTTTAAATCTAATATCATCAAATTAAAAAAAAATGAAACGAAAAATTTCTAAAAGAAAGTCATCAAATGAAAAAAATCAAACGAAAATGTATTAATATTTGTTACAAATTGTCCGTGACAAAAAAAAAAGAAAAAAGAAAAGAAACATGTAAGCGAAGACGAAGACCGCCATAGAAACTTCGCTGTAATTCCATGGTGTGTTTAAAGATCAATCATAAAGAATAAATGCCCTATTTACACGACTATAATTTATATAAAAAAATAAAAATCAGAAAAAATGAACACTCAGTAAACAAAATCACACTTGCTTGAGCTTTGAATTAGAACAATCTTCTTCTGTAGTTGAAATTCTATGTAAGTTGTTCATAGCTTGCAGACATCCTATGCAATTGCTTGTTGTATGTATCCTCACTTTGATGATTTTGAAATAATTCACGCTTCATTCCCAAATCGGTTTCTGGTTTAGTCTCATCATATAGCTCTCGACTCTGAATGGTACAACTCCCCAACAAAAATGGATATTGGAGATGGCGATTCCATTTCATTTCTTGTTGTTGGGTTGGGAAAGGAATTTGGCTATGGAGTTCCTTTTGATTTCTCCCAAAATATGAATTTGTTAACCCCCATGAAACCCCATTATTTGTTTCAAAGAGAGAGCTTAATTCCCAGTTGTTCCGATGGAAACCAGAGCCGACGGAACTGGGAATTGCGGTGGTGTATTCGGGAATCAACTCCGCTGGTAGAGAATCGGAATTGGAATCGGAACTGAGATTGGAACCAAAAAATATCGTTGATTCAGGTAGCGGTTGGCCGTAATTGAAATCGATGAATCCGGGAAAATGGTCGGAATTGAGGTGTCTGGTGTCAGTGGCGGCAGTTCTATCACTCGTCCCATATCGGGTCAGAAAGAATTCATGCGTCTCCGGCGCCGGCAGTACCATCAATGGTTTGGGTTTATCAGCCGTGTTGCGGTGGTCGTTTTCATCATTCTCAAAGTCGGAAATGGGTTTATGAGTATTGTGATCAATCCCTTTTTGCCTTAACTTCTTCTTAATCGAAGAATTCCATAGATTCTTAATCTCGTTGTCAGTTCTACCAGGCAATTGGGCTGCAATTTGTGACCATCTGAATAAAACCCAAATTAAAAATCGAAACCAAAACAAAATGTTCAAACGTAATTATACCCAAAAATAGGTTAATTGTACTTTTATACATACTTGTTTCCAAGAACTGCATGTAATTCGATGATTAAGTTCTCTTCTTGTTGAGAGAATGTACCCCTTTTCAAATCTGGGCGGAGGTAGTTGATCCACCGTAACCTGCAACTTTTGCCACATCTCTGCAGACCTGCAAGTTTAGGAATGGAACTCCAGCAGCCATGGCCGAACTTGGTGATGTGATTGATGAGCTTTTCATCTTCTTCAGGAGACCAGAGGCCTTTCCTTAGTCTTTGTTTGTAACAAGATGAATGTCTGCCCATGAATGCCTAATTTCCTACCAATAAGGTTAAAGAAAGGGGTTACGGTCTACGGGTTATATGGGATTCGACTTGAAAGTCTTCGGTTCAATGAGATTTTGCTGGCTTGATGAGGGTGGGGTCTCTTATTACTAATACCATCTTCAACATCTTTTTTATAATATGTTTGATTTAGCTATGTAAACTAACTGATAAGCTCTTTGGTATTCGATAAGTTAATTATTTGATCGTTGATAAGTTAGTTGGTAGTTGATAATTAGTTGATATAAAAATCATATTTGATAAAAATTAGTTAATAATTTTATAAGAATATCTTAAAAAACTAATAAATTACAATATTTTTAATATAATTTTAACAAATAATTAATAATATAATTTATAAATAAATAAAAAAGATAGTAAAAAACTTAATCTATACTATATTATAAAGCATTTGACAAGAACTCTTAAAAACGATTTTTTATGCACGAAATACTGTTTATTTATGCATATTACTTAAAATTTAAGATTACAAGTAAATTGTGCATAAGTACAACTTATTAAAGCTCTATACTCGAATTCGTCTAACTAACTGCAGATAAACATAATCAAATATTGGATGAACATCTAATTTTAAATATAAAAAATCTAAAATATGATTAGGATAGTCATTGATAACTAACAAAATACTTAGTTATTATCTTTATAAAAAATTATATTATTAAACCTAAATTAAATTTCTTTGTTACTAAACCTAAATTAAATTATAATTAAAAAAAATTAATTAAGGAAATTACACCAAAACACAAGAACTTTTAAAAAGATTAATTTAATACTAATATTGATATATTTTTTTTCAAAATTTTATGATATTTTTAAATTTATATTTTATTCAAAAATAAAAATATTATCACTTTCTCAAAACCACATAAAACCAATGTTTACTTAAAATTCAAGATTACAAGTAAATTAGGCAAAAATACAACTTATTAAGGCTCGATGTTTGGATTTTTATATTTAATTGTGGATAAACATAATCAAATAGAGGATAAACATCTTATTTTAAAATATAAAAGATCTAAAATATAATTAGGATAATTATAAAGTTTTGACAAAATAATTAATTATTAT